GCATTAGGGTGAGCCCCAATGGAAACTCTTCTCCTGCTGATTGCAGCAAAATAATAACTTAATTGTATAATACATCAGAAAATTGTTTTTAGTAGTTCATTGGTTGTTTAGTTTTGATTGTCTTACACTTGGCATACTGGAATTGGGATACTATAATTTCATTAATATTCACATTGCTATAGTTGTAAACTGGGTCATTCTCATACTATATCAACATTTGTATACTGATACCAGGTCCTACATTTTATGCTAGAATTTCCAGAATACCTTTAAAAATGTGAATGAAATGACTTGGCAATTGAATATTAAAAGAGAAACAGTTTGGTCTTTTCCAAATGATTGTCATTCAGAAAAGTTCTCAAACACAAAGTTTATCTGTTTACATGTTTAATCCTCCACTGCTTTCACATAAAGTAGTTATAAAATGCTGAAATACTTAAGTCTTCAGGGTGACTATCCTGGAGGGTGTTGTAGACTTTAGGAGGAGATCTTTTGTAGGAGGACCATAGGTCATTTCAGGTGTGTTCTCTAAGGGGATTATGGGACCTAGTTCCCTTCCTTTTTCTCTTTTACTTCTTGGCCACAGAACATGTTGCCCTACTGATGGAGACCACTATGAAGCAGACCTGAGCAGGACTTAAATGAACCAATTGGCTTTTCATGTTTACTTGTGAATCTGTCCAAGGCCTAGGCTCCTCGAGATGGGTGGTAGACTCATAGTAAGTAAACCTCTGTGAATCAATAATCCCTACTAAGGCCTATAATGATGGATGAAGCCAGAAAGCCTCAAAGGATAAGACAAAAATGACAGCCAGGGATAATTGGATTCAATCTCAACTAGATAAAGACTGTAGCCTCAGGCATCTCACTCCTGGGTGGATTAATTTAATATCTTACTTGAAGAAGTCCTCAAGTGGTTCCGTCCTTCTGGAGTACATTTTTCCTTTCTTCTGCTTACCAAATAAATACAGGCCACCCAGAGAAATTTGTGGTCTTAGCCCAAGAGAATCTCGAATTCTGTGAGAGGGCTTTGATCCCACTGGAGCCCTGAAATCATTCCGTTTTCCTCTTTTTATTTAGCCTTTGCTATACACTCATTCAGGAGATTCTGGACCTGTTCAGCCAGTAATAACTAAGGGGTATTATTAACCTGATACCCTGCCACATGCTTCCCATATTGTCATGTGGTATGCTCACCAGAAATCTAACGCAAGGGACCTGCACGATCACGGACTAGAACCACTAAGACTGTAAGCCCAAATAAATATCTTCTTTTATAGCAATAGAAAGTTTAAAAATATATATGATTTGTTATTTCTTTAATATCTAAATATCTTTCCATAACTATGAGCATATTTGACCTTGAACTATCTTAAATGTTAAGGAAATAAGTAGAATTCCCATGTATAGTATTCAGAATTATTTCTATGGAAGAATACCCTAGAGATACCCATTCTTGCCAATACTCCAATAACCAAAAATAATATCTCTGTGATAGATAGTAAGGCACACTAGTTAGAAGACTGGACTCTGGAGTCAAATAGGAGCCAGACTGCCTGATTTTAAACCTAGTTCTGTCATTTATTCAGTGGCTCACCATCAGGGTGTTAAATGAATTTTGCTTCACTCTATTTATGCAGTGGAAATTATACTAGTAATTCACTTCACAGAGTTGTCAAGAGAGTTTAGGAATTTTATATGTGTAAATTGCTTAAGAAAATCTCTGGGATATTGTACTTACCATAAAGGGTATACTGAAGATATGATTTTTGTTTGTTCCAAAAGGTAGATTCATTCTTTTTGTCATCCACATTTCTTTTAGAAATTTGAGAGTATGTTGTTTCATTAATGCATGCATTTTTCACTTACTGAATGTTACTTACAATGATGTTCCACTTTAATATGCATGATTTATAGAAAGTAAAATCTAGTCCCTAACTTCAAGGAAACTATCTGTCTTGGTTACTTTTCTCTTGTTGCAGAGACAAAATACCTGACACCCAGAATTAAGGAAGGAGAGATTTATTTAGTTCACAGTCTGCTGAGGTTTCAGTCCATGCTCTCCTGGATCCAAGGCAAAGTAGCACATGGAAGAGGGCAACTGTTCATGGCAGCAGAAGACAGCAAAAGCAACAAGAGCAAAAGGGAGGAGTGGTGGCAATCAGCCTCTTTCTCTCTCTTACATATGCAAACTATCCACCCCAGGGTGGGTGTAGCACTCACAGCCATGAATCAATCATAAACTCAAAAGCCCCCCATGACTGCATGTGTCTTTTGGGGGACACTCAGACACAAACCATATCACTATCATAATAAATGAAATTTGAAGGCAAAGAGAAACCTAATCAAAGATAGTGAGACAGAACATTTTGATGGTACAGAAATTTAAAGCATCTTTTATGCTTCATTGAAATTATGAACAATTAAATGGTTCATCTCAGTTTTTCTTTAAAATAACTATGCATCAACAAAAAAGAACTTAAATTGGCAGTTATATTTTAAGTACTCTATGTGCCCCCATTTGTGAAAATTTCACCTCAGAAATAGTGCTGTTCTGGAATTTTGCAAGTGACAGTAAAAATCCAATTTCCCGTTGTGATGGTTAACCCTGATAGTCAATTTACTTGGCTTGCAATACTCCAGGGAACTAGTAAAGCACATTTCTAGATAGGCCTGGGTAGGTTATGCTTTTGTGACCCTGAGGATTATAGTTGTTGCCTGGGCCCCTCCTCTGTCACTCTTCCCTTGCTCACTGCTTTCCAGATGCCATGAGTTGAGCAGCTTTACTCTGCCATGACTTTCCACCATGACATTTCTGCCTTGGAGCAAGCAGATTGTGGGCTGAACCTTTAAAGGTCATGAGCTATCAGGTGTTTTGTACCAGCAGTGGAAAATGGACTAGTACATATGTTAAGCACAGAAGCTGCATAGATACAGGTAAAGCAAAAAAAAATCTGAAGAACACTCAATCTGCAGAGCTGGTTCAGGATATTTATTATATATTCTAAAGGCCATATAGCTCTATTTATTAATATTTTATAATATGATATAATGGTTCCTACATAAAATACGATAGTACATTTTGACAAATATTTTCCTTTTCTCCATGTGTTCAATTTATCTCTGTCTTTATCTGTATTTCTCTATCTTTATTTCTATCTCTATATCCATCAACTGCGTAGAGGATAAGAAAAAAGTTTTTTTTACATTTTCAAAGCTGTAATTATCAAAAATATATACCAGTGTGTAATATAAGACAAATCCTTATGAGTACTCTACCCAGAATCCTGTGAAATGTTAGGGTTTCCAGGAGAGATGATGGCAGCCAATCTAATCTCTTACCTTGTGCAAAGACTACTCCACTGCTTCTAATCATGACTTCTCAAGCAGGGAATCGAGCCCCAATAGGCAAAATTAGTTTGTGGAAGGAAAGAATGAATATACACTTATGTATAAAGCACAGATATAGTACTAAGGAAATGGCAGAGAATCTGTAGTATTAAAATGACATAAAGGGGTGAGTGGGAAAGAAAACATCTTAAAAACTCTGTAAGGTGGTCAGTAATATTTTTAGAGGCTGATAAGTGCTGTTCTAATTGAGTGGATTCAGTTGTTTCTTCACACACATGTGCTGTTCAGTACTTTGCTGGGTAGTAAAGGGAGGCTCTTAGGATCCCTAAAGCTTGCTGTATGTGAGGCCTTTTCTTCTTTGGCCCTTACCCTGCAGTGAACTCTCAGTAGCATCTCAGCTCTGAGATCTGCTAGCCTATCCCTAGGTATCCCACTCCTTGCACTGTTGTCTAAAAACTCTCTCAAGCTAAAAGTGGGACGATCATAGCACATATCTATCTCATCTCTTTGCACTCTTTCAGGGATCACCTTCAAAGCCTGATGTTCAATTATAGTGTGTATTTTGTCTGATTTGAGATTACTTTATGCTCTTTATGCTGGTATGAGGCTTATAACTATGCTATTATCTCATCTTGACCAGAATTGAAATAAAATCACACACACACACACACACACACACACACACACACACAGACTGTATATGAATCATTTCTTAAAGATTTGGAAGAAAAGTAAAATTTAGCTGTTGTGTTCACTCACTACAGATTATGGAAGAAAGACAACCAGTAAATTTTGGGAATAGAAATGTTAAGATTTACATTCAAATCTATTTTGCTTAAAATTATTTTATAACATTTTATCAAAGCTTTAGTGTGGTTGGAAAAATAGAAATAATTAGGTATTTTACCTTATCAGTTTTTTAAAGAGTTAAAATGTGATATTAGTGGTATAATGTTATATATCATATAGCATTATTTTAAGACCTTTCTTGCTTGTTTTTTTTTTTTTTTTGTTTGTTTGTTTGTTTTTTTGAGATAGAATTTAACTATGCAGTTCAGGCTGGGCTCACTTTGTAGCCTAGGTTGGCCTAGAACTCATGGCGATCCTCCTGCCTCAGCCTCCAAAGTCTGAGATTACAGGTGTGCACCACCATGCCTGATTTTAAGACCTTTCTTAAATGTTAGTAATACAAGCTAAGGTATAAATTTGTATAATTCAAAAAGCAGTAAATATGTACCTTTGTGTTCATAGAACAAATGGTATCTTTTGTGTAAGTCTAATTATCAACTTGATTGGCTTAGGAATTGCCCAGGAGTTGATAAAGTGCACTTCTGAGTTGGTCCAGGTGAGTCATGGAGGTGTGATCTTGGGTATTATATCTGGTCCCTGGCCCCCTCCTCTCTGGTACTGTTCCGCTGTTTTGCTTCCTGGCTGCCATGAACTAACCAGCTTTACGTTGCCACACCCTTCCACTATGATGTTCCTTCTTTGTAGCCACCTCACCATGCATTGAGCCCTTGGAAACATGAACCAAATAAACCTCTCATCCTTTAAGTTGGAGCTACCAGGTATTTTATCCAGCAGTGGGAAACTGATTAATACACTCAGATTTAACAAAAATAAAATAACAATAAAATGTAAAACTATAATTTTAGGCCATGACGAATTTATACGCAATAAAACATGTTATCAGTAGAAGAGAACAGCAAGCATTTCTTTACCATATTTCTCTAACAATATAATTAAGGCATGATAAACCCTAGACTTAGCAACAGCAGCTTTAACCTTGTTAATTAAATATCACCTGCATTTCCACTCAAGTACATTAATTTAAAGCCTATTGATGGCTATTGCAATAACATGTCAGAAAGGGTCATAGCTTGAGTTACACCCATTAGGAGCCATGTGAGGAAGAGAAAGCTTTCAACTATATGTTATTTGATGTTTTATCAGTAGAAAAACCTTGTGATTTTTGGAATAATATTTTATAACAAAAGTTGGTATCTTCTCTTAAACATAATTGCTAAAATAGCACTTAAGAAAATGCCCAACTTGTCCCAAATTGAACAATGAGATAGTATGTTAAACAATCAATGAATCATATTTTGATTTGAAATATGTCAAACCAAGCCCATCAACATACTCATCACTTAAAATATCGGACATTTTTGTGATAAGAGCACTTGAAATCCATCCTCCCAGCCACAAGAAAATAGTACTCAGTTATAACTAACTGGTAGTCACCAGAGTGAGTAGATCTGAAAAGTCAATAAATAAAAAGTAAAGAAAATCAAACTTGTTCCTCACAGCTGAGGTTCTGTGCTTTATTACCATTTCTCCTTCCTTCCCTACTCCAGCCATTGGTAATCACTATTCCATTCTTCATTTCTGTGAGCTCAGCTGTTTTAGATTCCACATATAACTGAGAAAATGCAGTACTGGCTTCTAGTGTTCGGCTTCTTTCACTCGGCATAATATTTTCTAATTCGAGCCATGTTGTGCCAATGACAGCATCAAGTTGACTGTTAGATGGTTTCTCTCTCACAAAAGTTTGGATATATACACTCACACAAATTTTACTTCTAGCAATCAGTAAACATTTATATTTTTTCATTTTTATTTAATAATTAGAAGGAATAATTTACTGCCTTATAAATATCAGATCATAAAAAGGTAAACAGATCTTAATAATCACAAATATACAAGTGTAAAATAATGCACAAATCAGTACAGATATACTCATCTGCACACTTTGTATAAATTAGCAAGAACACATATTTTTGTGATTTAAATTTTACACAATTTCCCTTAAAATATTTTTTTTCACCAAAAATTAATTTAGTTTCAAATAAAAAGATAAAGTCTATAAATCAGTACAGAAGATTGTAGATCAAGCATCAAATGCAATTTGGTGCTTCCATTTTGCTGTCTTTCTAGAAAATTTGGACAAGTTGGGCATTTTCTTAAGTGCTATTTTAGAACCATGGACTGTGGTGCTACATTCTTTATAATTCTATAAAACTCCAGCTACCAAAATCTTCTGTGAAATAAAATAAATGTCTGTAAAAGTGTCAGTGGTTACATGATGCATACACTGACTAATAAAATGTACTATATCTTTGTTGAATACTTCCCCAACCTGCATAAATCTTTGAGAAAAAGCAAAAAACATCATTCATTAAGGTATATCCCACATACATTATTACATGAGGAGAATAATATAGTAGAAATAATAATCCTTCATCATTCACCGAAACATCAGTAGACATGAAGTATTCTGAGAAGATATTGTTTGCTGGGAGTAGACTTAAGACAGAGAGCACAAATCCTGAATCTTTCAAAAACAACACAATTAGGAAGATGACAATTTAGTTCTGTAGTAGTAATGTTAGATTAGTATAGTTCCAATTTGCTCTGATGTGAAAATCTACATGATCTAGTTAGTCTTTGGTAGGCAGTTTGTGTCTGGGTTGTGGAAAGTAGCATCTTGTTTTTATATAATTAGTTCACTGAGGCTGACTGGTAGTTCAATTCAATTATCAACTAACCTCTACCTCAATATTAGTTCCTGGAACTGTCCCAAGAAATTTAACTCCAATCATCTGCTATTTTAGTGTTTGTGTAAACGTTAATGAGACATGCTTCAGTTAATTTCATATATTCAATTTGGCCTATTTAAAAGAATTTAGCCCTATGATCATAAACCTGTGCTTAATAGCAGATTTACCATAATATAGATTTAGCATAATGCTGTGCTTCCTTGGGGTGAGGAGCCTCAGTTTATATTTCAAAAGCAATTAGATAAGATTAGACTATACAATGATATTAGTGCCTAGAACAATTCAAAATTTAGAAAAGGAACTGGAGCTAATTTTCCTCAGAAACTGAAGGTAGTCTGTACAATATAGTCACAGGAAATCACAGGCATTGGGAACAACCTTCAGAAAAAAATATAAGATGATACAGAAAAGCTAACAATATTGGGGAGATAAATTAATGTTTCATTAAGATATAGGTATCACTAAAGGATACCTCTTTCAATATAAGAAGTAGTGTTTATATCTGGTTAATTTAGTTAAAAACATAATCACAATTTACAAAAATTATACTAACTACAAATTACAAAGAAAAATAGGTAGACTCTCCAGACATCCTTTATGGACCTTGATATCCATCAATTTTCTGTCCCATTACAAAATTTAATATTAAAATTTTATACTTAACATTTGATATTAATTTCAACGTTAAAATTTATCAAAATGATTAAAAACAGTTGATTAGAAAAAGCAATACACCAAAAGTAATAACATATCCAGACCTCTATTGCACTGTACTGACCATTAGATAGGGAAAGTAGAACTGCTCTTTAATTTTTGGTACGCCGCTTGGTGCTGGACTCCAGAACAATGGAAACACCAGTGACAGTGATCTAAGAAGCATTTCCTTTTTAAAATATCACCAAGGGAGCAATAAAGGAATCTCAGGTAAGTTTCCAAGTAACAAAAAACATTAGAGTTGAACTTTGTCTTTAAACGTGAACAAAAGTTCTGTTCCATTTTTAAGAAAGTAGGACCAGAGCTTCGTGGCCATTTTTCTCAGTGAAAGGCCACAATTACTACACAAATTAAACCTGTGTTTCAGAAGAGAGCATTCAAAGTGTGGGACCTGCTCAGCAGTGATTCATGACCCTCCTTGATTCCCTGGTGTGTGGATTGGTAATGGAGGACTTGTCTCACAGAGGTAAGCAGGGGCCTCTGGAACTCTCTGAGGCTGCAGGTCTTCAGCAAATTGATGGCATTGCCACTTCCTGTGATGGCAGGAACAGTACTGGCAAACACATTCATGGCGGGTCAGTCACAGCTGCCAATCAGAAGACAGTCTTTCTGACTTCCACTGTGGTTTGATATTGAGCTCATCTTCCAGAGCAGTCCTAGCACTCCTCATTTTTTGAGACCTTTGACTCACTTTCTTTGTGTAATTTTCTTTGTTGATAAATGTGTATGGCTAGAGCAGAGATGCAGAGCAGAATAAATATCACAACTGCTATCACACCTAGAGGGAAAGAGAATACAAAAGCATAAAGTCAGAATACAAATGGTGACTCTTACTCCAACTAGAGCCTTTGCTAACATCACTACTTAATAAGTTACATTAAAATAAACCAACCATCTAGCACTGTCATAAGTTGGAATCATTCATAAACTCATGAATTTTAAGGCTACATGGTTTTATAATATTTATTATAGAGCTACTACAATCTTCAGATATTACCATGGTAGGCATTTTCCCTGAAGGTATGATTGAATTTCAACAAATGCTTTCAGATTTGAAGCACACATACAAGTGTCTAAGTCCACGTGCATCCTCCAGCTAACAGGTGAAAAGTTTTAAATTACTTTAAAAGTATAGGGTATTTAGCACCATTGTACACTAAATGTTAGTTCTAGAATAACTGAGTACATCTTGTTAAATTTGTTTTAAAATATTTTCTTTATTTGCAGTTGCTGGGTCTGGAACCCAGGGCCTTTCATGTACTAGGTAAGCACTCTACCACTGAGCTACACCCTCAGAACTAAAATCCTCTTATGATGATATTCTTTTGAAATGCAGTAGTGTAACACACATGTAATCAGTTCTTGTTGCCAAATATATTGGAGGGATATTTATTAATTTCATTTACGAGGAATGTGGGTTACTTGAAAGACCCAGGTTGTACACGTAAAACATAGATACCAGTGCCTATGCCAGTGATTCTCAAGCCCAGCTGCACACAAAGTCAATAAACCAGGATGACTGAGGAGAAACCCTGGGTGCCAGGATCTTCTAAATGTAGAATTTAATTCAGCCAGATCACTAGAACTTCCACAGAAAGCTGTTTGTTAAAGCAATCAGGTGGATGGAGAATGGGTGTCAAATCTATGTACAACCAAGTGAATATGTACAAAGGCAAGCTTTAGCTGTCCACATAATAAATTTAGGATAATTCACAAAGGTGTTGACTTTTATCCAGCTGGTGAGCCCTGGAAAACTGAAAACTGCCTTCCAGTAGGCTCAGGGGAGGCCTTCCTTCCACTCATGCCTTCTTTCCTCCCCCTTTCAGGACTGGATATGGCTTTATTAGGGAGACAGAAGACAGGACTAGAACTTAGTTCCTCAGCAATATATCCCTGCACTTAGTAAGTCTTGCCAGTGATATTTGATGAAAAGCCATAATATCTCAAAGATAAGATGTTCTGTTCTGTTACCAACTTGCCCACTACTCCAGCTCATGGAAGGCCATGTGCTAACTCTGGCACTATGAGAAAACTTGTGGAATGTGGGAACCTGTTCTGAAAGCGCTGTGCATATGGAAACTGCTTTTGCATTGCAATGAAAAATCTTCTCCAATAAATGCAGGATTTATTGAGGTTTAGATTTGCTTTAAAATCTAACACAAAACTATTCCTTTTAGATAAATGTTATTCACCATATTCCCAAAGAAAACTGTTTAAAATATTTGTTCAATGGGTTATGTATTTTTTATTATCTCATTGATTTAAAAGAAAGAAAATAATTCAGAGAGTGTTAAAGACATTAATATACTAAAAAATTGTTCAAGACTTTATAATGTTTGTATTATTTTTATCTCCTTGGAGGGAAAAGTTTGCTTTTATATATACAATTAGAGAGTCTAAAGAACTATAAACTAAACAATATTTCAATAATCCACTAATTAATGAGGAAAAGTAAACTCATTTTTTTATACCGACACAGTAAATTTTATTTCAGGGGCAAAAAACCCACTCTTTTCATCACCAAAAAATATACTTAGATTGCGTTTAATTTTACTTTCCTCCAATTTGAAATAATCAAGAAATAGCCTATCAGATTAATTTTTTCTAAAGTACAATTAAAAGTGAAATATACAGTGGCTAGTGCTGTACAAATTGCGAATGTGCACAGAGACGCTGAACTGTACATTGAAGATAATAATGTTATGGGTACTTTAAAAATGAAATATTGCCCAGGGAAGCATTTAAACTGTGCAAACTATCACTTTCATTTTTCTAAAGTGTCAGAAATCATGTTATCACCATCACAGCTTAGGTTTGCACTGTTTCGAGTGTAATTACTTGTAGCTCTGCCCAAAGAGCCATTCAGGACTTATACAAATACCCCCTATATCCTAGGGAATATTTCTGAATTAAGAACTTTTCATTAGGAAGCATGTTTTAGAGGGACTCTTTATCTCCAAGAAAGCAGACATTAGGAAACATCAACTCTGAAACCGGACACGCAGGAGCACCCTTCAGTCTCACTGAGTGCTGGTTCTCGGTGCGTTTCTCTAGGACACTCATTCTCGTCGGAAGGGGTAAAGGTGCAGCTCTGTTACCTCCGATGACCCCCGAGTCACTTCGCGCCGCGCGAGGGAAGGGCTCGCCCTCCTCTGCTGGTCTTGAGTGACCTAGGGGGAGAAGGGCGCAGCGGCAGAGGTCAGGAGGAAAGGGCGCTGGGGAGTCGTTCCCAGTCACGGGCGGGACGGGACAGGGGACAGGGGACACGCACCTGCGCCGCCCGCAATCCGGGGCGCCAGTCCCCGCGCTCCCTGGCCGGTCGCAGGCCCCGCCGCGCAGCGGGACCCCG